AGATAACTTCTCCCGTACCCAGGAGTGATGAATCCTTTGTCGATCCACCATAGTCTCGATACACTTTTCAATGTAGCCAATCACTACCGTATTGATAGCTTTGAATAGAACTATGTTGGGCTATTATCAAACTACACCAATTGGTGCACAAGGCGCTCCGGTGATCTCAAGTCTAAGGATTACATGCACTACTATCCTTTAGAGGATTTATTCCATAGACACTAGGGTTACCATCCATATGGAATCCTCTGGTGGGTCTGTCAAGTGAACTTGCCTACAGCAAGCACCCATGTGTCGCACCAGGTTGTCGGCAAACAACCTTGATAAGTGAGATCAGTCACTGCCTTTCGATAGGGTCGTTCAACACTATGATAGCCTTACCGTATTATCTGTGTCCTTGGTCAGAATAATATTGGAGCTACGGACATTTCTAGAATAGCCACCATATGTGATCATGGGGTTCTCATTATCAAGATTTGAAACACTTGATACCCTCGTCACGGTTCTACCATCCTAAGGACATATATCAATACACATAATATGATTTACGTGATAAAGTGGATAATGCCTTTTTATTGATTAATAAACATTATTTCAAATAGTCAATTCCACAATAATTGATTGGCTTTAGGGCACCTACTCCAATAGGAAACGGGTAAAGGCATGGCGATCAGGCCGTTTTTGGCTAGAGATCTTGTCAGAAATGGCCAGATCCGGTCAATTGTGAACCATTCCAGCCATGACATTGGTGTCCAATGACGATGGCCAATAATCAGCCGTCGCCCATGGTGGCCAGATCCGGCTATCTATCTTGGGTAATTCGATGGAAGTGTAAGGGTAATAATGTCGTAAAAATATTGTGTATAAGAATAAAATAGTCCGTGAATATTTTTGTAAATTATTTTTAAAACAAGGGCATTATTGTCCAAAAATTTTAATAGTTATGGGTAAACTTGTAAAAAAAATTAAGATTACTAAGTAATCTTAGAATACTTAAGAAAATTGTGATATTCAGATTTCACCTATATAATATAACCAACAATGATTACTATTGGTATTGGAGGATTACCGACATCTTATATTACTTGACAGCCAAATATGGTAATGTAAATCATATAAGATGATATTATTGAAGTAATGTGCAATGTCCTCCAACCAAACACACCCTAAAACATAGGCCCGGCTTAAGCCCTAGGCAGGCAAGGCCCCTGCCTAGGGCTTCCAAAAAAAAAGGGTAAAAAAGAAGGCCCAAAATTATTTTTTGAAGTATTTTTTAATATATTTATAATTTCCCAATTCTCATCAATCCCACCATATTTACTATCGCCTATGCCTATCTCTACCCGTAATTATTTTTTTAAGTATTTTTTAATATATTTATAATTTCCCAATTCCCATCAATCCCACCATATGTCATATCACCTATGTCTATCTCTAAACTTGAAACACATTTTGCGGCTCATTTTTCCATTGAAAGTTGAAACACCTTCACCTTGCTTGCTACAACTCTCAAATTTCAAATCACAATCTCCTCTCTCTCCCAAATCCGAATGACAATCTCTTATATAAAACCTCATTTTACTTAAAGTTTTCTCATCTTTTACTCTTAGCATTCTCAACTCAGTTTACTCTCAAGTCCCAGTGTTCTCATCTCTTGTCTCTCCTTCCTCATCTCCATTACTCTATTGACGTAAATTTCCCAAGTGAATGTGATTTACATTATTATTTTTATGCAGGGTAATATTAAGGGCTCTAAATCATTTTACTTTTAGTATTGTCAACTCATTTTACTTTATATTTGATCAAGTGAATAAGTGATTTACATTATTATTTTTATGCAGGGTAATAATATAAGATTTTAGAGTATCAGCACAACAAAAAGCAAAATCAAGAGCATAAATCAGGTGCTAAAGTTCCTTCTTAATTTTTATAATTATTTTTATTTTAGCAAAATAATATTAAGGGCTCTAAATTATTTATTCTTTGAATAGAAATGTCTACTAAAAAGTATGAATCTGGATTTGGAAAACGTAAGAGAAAAAAAAAGATAGAAGAACTAATTCAATCCCAAAAAGGTGCACCAAATATTTAATATGAAACACCAAATGCTAGAAAAACCAAATAAAGATTTAAATGAAAAATCAATTGAAAATTGTGAAGAAATGTTTAAAGATAACAATTCAAATTCATCAAATACTAGTGAAGAGTACCATGAAAATCTAGAAGATTCCATTCGACAAGAATGAAAATATTAATGATAAAGATGAAACAACTATTAAAAATATGTATGATCTGATACACTGGAATAATTTAAACACAAGCTTATGTGATTTATTCGTTGAGAAATGTCCAATTAGACAAGTTTTAGATATTCCAAGAGATGAAAATTCTAGACGCTTTTCTACAATTCATTACATTCCAAAATTACTAAATGGAGAAAAACATGATAGAAAATTGCTAGTATATTCAAAAGAATTAAATAAAGTATTTTGTTATTGTTGTAAATTATTTAGTTTAAAAGCAAATACAATTTAATTAGCAAATGAAGGGTGTGGAGATTGGAAAAATCTTAGTGCCAAGCTTAAAAGTCACGAAACAAGCAATGAACATGCTATAAATATGAACATTTGGGTTGATGTTGAGATGAGATTGCTTAAAAACAAAACAATTGATAAATATTTACAAGAGAAAATAAATAAAGAGAAAGAGCAGTGGAAGAATGTACTATTAAGAACTATAGCGGTTATAAAAAATCTTTCAAAAAATAATTTGGCATTCATGGTACAAATGAGAGATTTATCAAGAAAATAATGGAAATTTTTTTAGTTTAATTGAAATGATTGCTGAGTTTGATCCAATAATGCAAGAACACCTTAGACGTATTCAAAATGGAGAAATTCATACTCATTATCTTGGTCATAATATACAAAATGAGTTGATAAATATTTTAGCATTAGAAATAAGAAATACCATTATTAAAAAAAATCAAAGAATCAAAATATTTTTTAGTTATACTTGATTGTACCCCAGATACAAGTCATTAAGAACAAATGCCACTTATATTAAGACGTGTAGATATTTTAATAAGTTCAATAAAAATAGAAGAGTACTTTATAGATTTTATAAAAGTGGATGATACTTCTGGTCAAGACCTTTTTAATGTTCTCACAAGTATATTAAAAAATCTTGAACTTGATGTAAATAATGTGAGAGGACAAGGATATGATAATGGGTCTAATATGAAAGGTAAACATCAAGGTGTGCAAAAAAGATTATTAGATATAAATTCTACAGCATTTTATACACCATGTGATTGTCACAGTCTTAATTTAGTTCTTTGTGGTATGGCTAATTCATATGCTAATGCTATTACATTTTTTGGAGTGACACAACGCATATACTCATTATTTTCTTGTTCTACAAAACAATAAAAAATTTTGCAAGATCATGTTTTTAATTTGACACTTAAGCCATTATCACAAACATGTGGGAAAGTCGTGTTGAAAGTGTTAAAGCAATAAAATTTCAAGCTCCACAAATAAGAGATGTTTTATATCAATTAGCAAAAACTAGTGAAGATCCTAAAACAAAAGGTGAAGCTATTTCTTTAGTAACATATGAAATTGAAAATTTTAAATTTCTATTAGGCATGAATATTTGGTATAAAATGTTATTTACTATTAATACGATTAGTAAATATTTACAATCTAAAAATATGAACATTGTTGTTACAACAAATCAGTTGGAAGGTCTTGCTTCATTTTTTGAAAAATATAGAGAAATTGGGTTTATATCTTCTATGATTTCTGTTAAGAGATTGTAGAGCAAATGAATATAGAATCAAAATTTCATGAAAAACGTATAATAAAAAGAAAAAAACAATTTAATGAGAATGAAAACGAAGAGACAAAATTGTTTGTTGAAGAATCTTTTAGAATAAATTATTTCACATATGTAGTTGATCATGTCATTTTCTCACTTCAAAGCAGATTTGAACAATTTGAAATATATAGTAATAATTTTGGTTTCCTTTATAATATAGAATAGTTAAAATTGCTTAATGATGATAGTTTGCATAAACATTTATTAAATCTTGAAAACTTTTTAAAACATGACACACTCTCTGATATTGATGGTTTAGATTTGTATTCAGAATTAAAAGTTTTTAAAGAAATTATAAACGTGGAAATTTTAGATTTGTATTCAGAATTAAAAGTTTTTAAAGAAATTATAAACGTGAAAATTAAAACACCACTTGAGATACTAGATTTTATAAAAAAATGTAAATTCTTTTCCAAATACATGAATAGCTTATAGAATACTATTAACTATTCATGTTACTATAGCTTCAGCAGAAAAAAGTTTTTCAAAATTAGAGTTAATAAAATCTTATTTGTGTTCAATTATGTCACAAGAAAGATTAGACAATTTAGCTATATTATCAATTAAAAAAAATTTGATTTCTAAACTTGAATATAAAAATTTAATTAGTAATTTTACATTTTAAAATACACGAAAAATAAATTTAAAATATTTTTTTAATGGATACTTATACTATTAGAAGGTTCTAAAATATCTTGAGGTCACATATGCTTTTACAAATGCTTTTGACCATAGGTTCTTAAGACTAGCTACTAAAACATTTGTGTTATATATATATATAATGAGTTATACCATCAATCATTAATTGAGGCAACAAAGTAGTAAATAATTGAGTCTGAAAAGCAACATGAAGATTGAATCGGAAAAGCAACACAATTTCTCAATAGGGGTCCGATCTTCTGGTCTGGTGAAAGCAGTAAAAAACATGCATCACGTGTTTGGTTCCAGGATTTGAGGCTCAGATCCCTCCACTCCAGGCCCCCAATTCAGATCTATTCATCTGCATTTCCCCTTTCATAGGCCGGGTTTTGCCTGTGAGTCTGTGACTACGATAGGTCGTTAAATTTCCACACCCTTAACCACCTCTCTTCTCATTCTGTCTCTCTGTACGTGATTCTCTTCTTGTTTCTCTATCCTGTGATTTTATTTCCCTTTCTCTTTAATATTTTAATAAAAATTATAATCATCCATTATAATACACACATTATGATATATCAGTTAGATGCTTTTGTCTCATCTTGTTTGATTGTTTTCTCTAAACTCCTATTGTAGAATCTCTTCACCCCTTCATTTTCTGCCCCTAATTCTCAAATTTGCACTAAATAATGGGCCTTGTTTCAAAACGAATCCTCTTCTTCTCTCTCTTCTTCTTCTTCCTCTTCTTCTTCTTCTTCATTATCCTTGCAGATAGTGATTCGAGAAAAACCACACCTTCAAATAATGATTCATTCTCTTCACCTCCATTAATTTTTGATCAACAAAATCAAAGAACAAATTTCTCACCATTTAGACCAAGTATTGCCGTGATAGTTGGCGTTTTAACTACCATGTTCTCTATAACCTTCCTCTTACTTCTTTACACTAAACACTGCAAGGGCGGAAACGGCGTCAGATATGGTAACCACACAGGCCCAGTCCCGCCATCATTAACTGCAAGAAGAAACTCTGGAATAGACCGGACCGTGATCGAGTCACTACCAATATTCAGATTTGCCTCCCTCAGAGGTCAAAAAGATGGGCTAGAATGCGCCGTTTGTTTAACGAGATTTGAACTCACTGAAGTTCTGAAACTCCTGCCTAAATGTAAGCACGCTTTTCATGTTGAATGCGTTGACACCTGGCTTGACTCACACTCAACTTGCCCTCTGTGTCGATACCGAGTTGACCCAGAAGATATTCTTCTCATAGAAGAAAACCAAATACTACCACCACCGCAAGAAAATGGAAGAAACAGAAGTGAGTCAGAGCCCGAGTTCAAACGAGTTTCGGGTAGACACTCATCTGCTGGGGAACGCCAAATATGTTTGCCACGTCATCAATTTCACGATACGACGTCGTCGCTTAGGATGTCCCTGGATAGCGCCGTAGCCGTTGGACGCTTTGACCGTCCAAGAAAAGACGGTTTGTTATTAGGCGATGGATTGATGGCGGATAGGAAAAGTTTTGAACGGAGATTTGAGCACCGGATCAGCATTGTCTCAGGTGGTGGTGGTGGTGGTGGGGGGTTACACCAAAGGTGGAGTGATGTGCAGCCGTTAGATCTATTATATCTACGGTCAGAGAAGATAATAAATGACAGCCGTAGATTATCTTTGGGATCAACATGGCAGTCGATACGTAGACAGCAGGAGCATGTGAGCATTGATGGTGGAGTTGAGAGTGGCAGTAGTGTAATAAATGGGAGAAGCGTGTCTGAAATCACGGGGTTGAGCAGGTTTTTCAACAGTGAGTGTAATGGCATTAACAGGAGTAATAGACAGCGACAGGCGCAGGCGGGACTTGTCTCGAGATGGTTGGCTTGGATTTCTTCTCGGTCACTGACACAGCCAGCTGTACGGTCGGATCACAGTAGTAGCATCACCATAGTGTAGTTATGAAACGACAAAGACAAAACCCAAACATTTTATTTTGTTTTTTATATTTCTTTAAAAGGAGAAAAAAAGCAATTATTGTTTTAGAAGATGAAGGTAGAGAAGAGAGGGACAGATGCTACGGGAGGAGGATTGGATATTCCGGACAACCACAGGTATCAAGGAAGCACGTGTATCGAAGAGGAATATATATATATATATATATTTTTTTTTTTAAGTATATTTTAACTTCTCTTCATGGATCAGAATTCGGAAGAGGATATTAGGAAACAAACATCCGAATTATCTATTTAATTGCCGGGTCGGCTTTTATGGTGGTCCAGTCTAGGATGAACTAATGAATTTGAAATTCTATGTTACTATATTGTTAACGTGTTATCATAATAGAGAACATTTAGAATTGGTAACACCAATCACTTAAAGGTTAAAAACTCCATTTAATAATTTAAAATTAAATTAATTTTATATTCTTTTCTTAAAAATTTAGTTTCTCTCCCTTACCAGTTTGTTAATGTTGGGTTCCAACTTTAAGATTTGATAATCTTAAATAATTGAAAAACAAAATTGAAGCAAAGCAACTATTGTTTATTTTGTTGAGTTGTGCAAATTGGTTTTGTGGTTTTTGATTGTGGACGTTATAGTGGTTGCAGTGGTTGTGCTCGATGGTGGTAGGAAGGGATTTGGGTGGTGGCTAGCGAAATAGGCAGTGAATTCTAACCACGCTAGATCGTCGGCGTCAGGCAGGTGAAGCCTGACAACTCAAGCCGTGATGCTAGGCTTATGGCTTGCCAACGTGCTTGGCTTCAGATGGCCACTCCTTGCCGTACAGCCGCCTTCATCTTGTTTTCTAGTTTTTTTATCTAATTTTCCAAATGCAATATTTGCCAGTTCTTTTCTTTTACTGAAAAAGTCAACGAAAAATCAATGGAAAATTTTGTTTCAACGTGATTTGGTTTCTTTTAATTTTGGAATTTTTTTTAAATTTAAAAAATCCCTAATTTTGTATTTTATTTCAAGTTAGTTCTTGATTGTGTCATTTAGGCTTCGTTTGGTTCACAATTGGGTGTTTTTGGGAAAAGATTTCTGAAAAAAGTTAAAAAAAAGTTGAATTGGACGGGTATTACGATGTAGGATTTATAAATTAATAAAATACCCCCTATTTTTGTTTATTTACAAAACACCCCCTATAATAAAATCTTAAAAGTTAACAAAAACACCCCCAACCCAATGTCAAATACGGACAGCCGGCCACCACCGCCGGAGGGTGGCCGAGTTCACCATATTGGAGCATGAACGGCTGAATCTTGACGGTCATGCGAAGATATGGCCTTTGCCGGCCAGATCCACGGTGGATCTGGCCGACAAAGGCCAGATCTACGGCCAGATCTGGCCGTATTTTCTCATCAACGACGACCAACAAACGGTCGTCGTTGATGGTCAACGACGACCGTTTGTTGGCCGTCGTTATAAACTGATACGGCTAAATATCTGGCCGTCAACGGCCAGATCTTTGGCCTTAGATCTGGCCTTTTCCGGCCAGATCTACATTGGATCTGACCGGAAAAGGCTAGATCGGCGCACTACCGGCCAGATTCAGCCGGTAGTGCGCCATCCTAACAGATTCCAGCCATTTTCCGGCAGTGGTGGCCGGAATCTGGTAAATATGAATTACTGGGGTGTTTTTATAATTTTTAAAAAAATATTTAGGGGTATTTAATTAAATTATCAAATTTAAGGGGTTTAAAAAAAGTTGAATAATATTGGGAGTAGTATTCCCAAAAATCAAAGTTTTTGGGTATTTTACTGTTTAACTTTTTTGAAAATACTAAAAGTAGTATTCCCAATTGGCAACCAAACGAAGCCTACTCTTGGGAATACTATTATTAGTATTCTCAATAAAGTTAAACAGTAAAATTGACTTATTCTCAAAATATTATTATATATTATTCAATTTCTTTTAAACTCTCTTAAATTTGTTAATTTAACTAAACACCCTTAAATATTTTTTTTTTTAAATTGCAAAAACACCCCAGCAACCCTCCGGCTGTGGTGGCCGGCTGTCCGTATTTAATGGGTGGGTTGGGGGTGTTTTTGTTAACTTTTAATATTTTATTATAGGGGTGTTTAGTAAATAAATAAACATAAGGGGTATTTTTGTTAATTTCTAAATCTTACATCGTAATATCTGCCCAATTTAACTTTTTTCAAAATATTATGCTAAAAAGTATCAGAATAATGAACCAAACGGACCCCAATTGTTTGAGTCAAAAATTAAGTTGCTTGAAGATTACATTTCCTAGCCCCATTCTTACAATCTTCCTAATTATAAATTCAATAATGCTACAAACATCGATGCTTTATACTGAAATGTTAAACCGAACGATGTGTCACATGAGTCAGACGAGCTACGTAGCACGTTAACAAATATTTTATGAATGAACGGTTGTCCATCAAATATGGACGACCATCCATTATTATTGGACGGCCGTTCATTTGAAATAAACTTTCGTCCATGCGAAAATGACAATGGACTCTCGTCCATATTATATGGACGAGAGTCCATTTACTATGCACGAGAATCCTCCTATAAGAGATGCCCATCCATAGTTTAAATTAAAAAAAAAAAATTGTTATTGTTTAAATTAAAAACAAAAGTAATGGACACCCGTCCATATATTATGGACGAGCGTCCCTATTAGAAAAAAAAAAGATTATATCTTCTCTTCAAACTTTTCTTCCTCGTCTACCTCTTCAATGTCATCCATGCTTTAAGTTTGGTTTTTTAGTAATCCAAACAGCCAAAAAAAGGGGACGAGCTACCCGAATGAAGCCTTCAAAGCGGGTTGGTTTGGTCTAACCAAGAAAGTCAGGGTAGAAAGATAAAGATGCACAAACATGAAAGGAAGAAGGTTGCTCAATTGAGTTTGGAGTTGTTGTTGTCTGGTTCATAAACTTTTTGTAATATAATAATTGACGCCCATCCATATAATACAGATGGGCGTCCATATTAAATGGACGGTTGTCCATATAATATGGACGACCGTCCATACGCAAATAAAATTATTTTTTTAATTTACATTATTTCTTTTTCTATTTGTAAAAACGATTAGCTTGTCTAATATGCTTCTCCAAAATAAGCGCCAAAACTTTTACATGAAATAAAAAATAAATAACTTCATTGTTAAACCTATTACCTTTCGCTTCACTGTTCCCATCTTTTCTTTGCGTCTGCGTGTTCTTCTCGTTTGCGTGTTCTATTTAGTCTTCTACCAGTTTCTTCCTCAACAGCCAACAAGCAACGACCGTGACAAGAAAGAAAGCCACCATTTTTTCATGAAACAATCATTTAGGGTGGAAAGGGAGTTAGGGAGATCAATTTTTTTTTTTTAGATTGGAAAGATTTGTTGAGGTACTTAAAGAGTTTTTTATTTAATTTATGCATTTATTTAGTTTTTATTTATTTTGGATTGATATATGTTACAATAGAAAATAACTAATAGACATATTTGTTGGCCTGTTGTGAACCAGATTTGTGAACGCGAAAAATAGTATTGGTTTGGCATGAAATTACGAAATAGAAGAGTCCAGTTTGCCTCATTTCAATGATGTTGAGGTAAATTGGTTTGAAACCTTAAGTTTTTCGTGAACATGATTTTAAATTTGTTGTATCATATTGTTTCTTACAATGTGTTGTATTAGTACATTCTATTTTTGTCCATTATAAAACTATTAAATGATAGGAAAATGAATGTGATGAATTAGAAAATATGGGATGGCGGAGGAAGAAGTGGAGCCTCATATTGGAATGGTGTTTGATTCAGTTGATAGTTTGGTGAAGTATTACACAAGGTATGGTAACAAAATGAGTTTTGAAACAATGATACGTACGTAAAAAAAGGCGATAATGGGAGATGAGATACGTGACAATGGCGTGTTCTTGTTCTGGGAAGGAGAGATGTAAATCCAAAAATACTTGAAAATGCAACCTGTTGCTAAAACATATTGTAAGAGTCAGATTAGTGTAACTTTGAATAGTGAATGCAATAGGAAATTAAATCAGTTGTACTGAACATAACCATGATCTTACAAGTCCAGCAAAAAAAGATATTTCAAGGTTAATCGAACATACAACCTTATGTGAAAAAGAGGCTTGAATTAATATGCGGTTGGGATTAGACCGTGTAAAAATTTTCAGTCATGTTCAATTGAGGTGTGGGAATTTGACATTTCTACAAAGATTGTAGGAACTACATTGAAAAAGTGAGGAGGCTACGACTTGGAGTTGGAGATGTTTCGGCAGTACTCGGGTATTTTATGAAAATGCAAAGGGAATTCAAATTTCTAGTATATGATTGATGTAGATGAAAAGAGATTAAAGAATGTGCTAGGTTGATGTTAGATGTAGGGCCGCATATAAAGAATTTGGTGATGTCATGACCTTGACACAACGTATCTAACGATAGGTATGATTGCCATTTGTTGCTTTTGTGAGGTTGATCATCATGGACCCGACATTGTTAGGTTGTGGGTTAATTTCCCATGAGGACATTGAAACATTTGTATGGCTATTTCGTTCTTGGCTTGAATGCATGGATTTTGCTCCTAATTGAATGATCACTGATCAAGATAAGGTCATGCAAAATCAATTGAGATTGTTTTCCCCAACACAAGACATAAAGGTGTTTGTGGCATATAATGAAGAAACTGCCTGAAAAGTTAAGAGAGCAAGGAATATGAAACTACACAAGTTTAAGTTACAAATATTGTTATGACTCCTTTACGCGTGAAGAGTTCGAAGAACGGTGGAACCAATTCGTTGATGTGCACAAAGTTCACAAGAATGAATGGTTATATGGATTGTACAAAGAAAGAGTACGGTGGGTGCCTGCATTTTTTAAAGATACTTTATAGGCAGGTATGTCTACTACCCAGCGTAGTTAAAGTATGCATGCATTTTGATAGATATGTAAATTCCAAAACTACGTTGAAAAAATTTGTGGAACAATATGAAATGCAT